TCTGAACTATTTAAAGATTAAACAAATGAGTAAAGCAACTTATTTTCAGCAATAATCAGCTTCTAAGAAAAAAATACTGTAGAACAGGCAGTAGCTTGTGAGCTACCGGTAGCTCATGRGCTCATTTAAAGTAGCTCTTCAGTGCTTATGAAAAATTAGGAGAAGCAAAATTTAATTTGTCACTGGGAAAATAAATTGGAGACCCGTCACCCAATGTTATTTGTGCACAAATCKGTCATGGTTAAACTCTAAGTTAGTAGTGTGAAATACACTGTAATATGAATGGATAAACACAAAAAGCACATTCATGTAAATTCAGTGTTCTTTGTGGTAGTTTTATGTGAATTGATAACAATGTTTTATTTTTTTGTGCAAAACAAGCTTATGGTCCTATTTAAGTTTAAAATTAAATGTTGTAAAAAAGTAGCTCTCTGACAATTTCACCATGTAGCTCTTAAGGAAAGAAAGGTTGGAGACCCCCTGCTGTAGAAGTTAAACCACATAAATTGATTTTTGTTACATGTTGTGGCTTTTCATTTTCTCTTCCCTTATGCTTCTTTATTTGACATAATACTGTATACTTACAAAAAGTAAGGAAATGAGTGTTTGGCAGATTATGTCTTTATTGTAACAGTGTTTCTTGACAATAAATCTTGTACCATTAGACAGCCTGTTAATTTCCTGTTYATTAAATAGTGCCACATTTGTAAGGAACATGCATTTGTGGGATGAGMRGTAGAGCTGAGTMTGTAGGTTGTGCACATGAAACCTTTGCCAGATCTTCTTTGTCATTGCCAAACAGCTTGTTTTGTTGTTGCTATTGACACTTGTTTTGAGCTTCTGGTACCTCCAGGTGCTGCCAGTCAGGTGCTCGGTATAAGATTTATTGCTAAGAAGCATTGTTACAAGAAATAATCAACCATACATTTCCTTACTTTTGTGCTAAGTTTAGATGATTCTGWTTACACTTGTTTTACTATTACCTGCTTTTCCTCTAATCTTTTTTTCATGTTTTTTAATCTATCTCTTTTTTTCTGTTTAATTGTATATGCTCCTCTCAAAGTCAGCATGCGCATTGGTCTTTGGCCAGCGTCCCCATTCTTCTTGCTCTTGTTCACTCATCCGCACCTCACCTCCACCCCCTACCTCCCCAGCCCCCTTGTATTGCTTGTGTGCAAGGATGTGAGGGGGCTTGACACAGTGTACAGCCCAGTGGCCTAAAAGTGAATACTTACGTAATTGCCAACTGTCTCCAATCATTAGGGGCAGCCCTTAAAAAAGATATGCTTCGCCGACAGCTGCGTCCCCTCGCCTTTGCCAGCCTTTCAAATCATATTTGCTTTAAAGGGCTCGGCCATATTATATTTTAGCCTAAAGCCCTGTGTGCTATGTAGACAACAGCGGAAATTCATAAAGGACACAATTTATGCAAAGATTTGCAAAATGAATTATGGATAAAAAGAGAATAACAACTAATCYGGCCYGCTGCAAACAAAACAGTAGACTCTGCTCAAGGTATTTTTACTCATTTAGTATGATGYTGAGGAGATTAGTTCAAAGGTTTTGGAAAAATGTTTTGTCTCTGCGTTTTTAAATTCAGATTATTAGAACTATGAAATTAAACTTATTCCACCCTTTTAGTGTAACTAGCAGAGAACATGTTACGGTGTTGATCACTAAGCTCACATATTTTACAAACCTTTACATACATAGCATTATAACTGCAATCAGGAGAGTTTGATGTCTTTCTGAAACAAAACATCTTTGCATCTATTAGATCGTGTGTCTGAAGTCAGAAAAGGCATTTTATTTTTGAAGGGAAAAAAGAAACCGAAGTAAAATGTAACAAAATTAAAGTTGATATCTGTTCAGATGAGACTCGTGTTCATATCAAATGCTGCAAATTCMCTGCCAGTTCCTGCTGAGAGACGAACATACATTTTATTTCCGCGCTTTCACAAAGACCTCCTACTGTATGGTTTGTGACAGCTGGGTCAGGTCCCCACATATTGAGGACACAGCTGCCCTGCAGACATGTACTCAAGCACACACACACACACACACACACACACACACACACTGTCATCCACAAGGGAAACAGGAACAGGAAAGCAGAGCATCTAAAATGTCTCAGAGCAGAACAACCACATTCTGTTGTCTAACTATATATCTGCAAAAATGAATCAGCAAGCAAAGAAAAATGTCCCCTTTTTGTTTTTGCACAATATTAGGTTTTCTTAAAAATATAAAGATATTGTAATATTTTAATAGGCATAAGAAAAAGACAACTTTTTTAACACAGGGCTGAAAATATGTGTAAGATTCAATTTTATTTAAATGTTTTAGTCTATTTTTTATACAAAGCATTTCTGTTTCTTTCTGTAGAAAAGAATAATACGATTAGCTTTGACTTGTTGCTTTTCAGTGCMTCTGGCCTGAACATGTTAGTACAGAACCGAACTAGGATGTAATTTCACTAGTTTATGACCATCAATGTTTGATAAACATAAATGTGACATTCTTGATGCTGGTTTGACATACTGTAAAATTGCACTCAATGATGTCTCTTGAAGTCTTAAAAATAATCAGATTTTACATTTTGATGTATTTTTTGCATGGTTGTTCTTGATCCAATGTACATTTTGTAAAATGTGAAGTAGCAAAATGTTATTTGTTGCATAAAGTTGTTCTTTACCACAATCTTAAATGATATGTTCTTATCTGATTCGTTTGTCTGTAGACAAACAGTTATAATCTCAATCTTGGGCTTAAAGTTGWATGGGTACTGTTGGTCTATAATAACTTATTTTTATACTTTTAAGATTAGTTTAAGTAACCTTTATCATGTGAATATAAATACACTTGCCATTTGAAAGTATTTGAAGTGCATTTGCTGAATTTCTTTTAGTTTTTCATTAAAGGACAGTTTGTTGCATATTTCTTTGCAGTCTGATCAGTGAATGTATGCAATTACACTTTAAACTTGTGCTTTGCAGAAGCTTTTCAGTTTACAGCAATAAATAAATAAATAAATAAACAAATAAATAAATCAATCAATAAATAAATAAAAACAACACTGAGCAAAAGCTATAAATAAATAAATCATTAATTGGGCGCTCAGTAAGAAACTTTTATTTTGAAAGAACATTTAATGTTGTAGACATATGTTATTTCCCCTTACCTTTTTAAAGTTACATTTGTTGTCTCTCTAATGATTTCTAGGTAACTATTATCATTGATAAAAATGAAACAWACTTTCCAAAAACTTGAGAAATCTGAAGATTTATTTCTTTAGTGATCTACAGTTACATGTGTCAGACTGTTAGCTTGTGCAAGACGTTCCCTAACAGAAGCTCAAAGGGGCAATGAATCAACCATGAAGGATAATCAAATCAAATGCAAATGCAGTTTGTGTGATTTTTTTTTCTTTCTGATGCTTGATGCCCTCGAGGGGCTTTTTCAGTTGTAAGGGGAGGGGCCGTTCATAATGAGGGGTCACGCTCGGGGGCCCTTTGTAAACATGGTGAATGAGAGTCCTATTCTTGAGGACAAGATTGTGGAATTAGTCCAAGACAAAGGGAGGTGTGCACGAGGAGCACCATGACTCTTTGTGCAACACAACCAAGCCCTCAAAAAATAAATACACAAAAATACAACATAATTATACAATAACAATATTCCTTTATCTGTACCATGTTAATTTTTGTTCAAACTTTATTCCCTGTTTAGCGTGTTGACATGCAACAATTAGACGTTAAAAGAACTCCTGAAAACAGAAGAAATTCGACAAATTTAGGAGCTCGTTTCTTGAATTTAGGACCGACTTTCATGAATATTCGGTATAACCATATATCGGTTTAATAACTGTTTTTAACCTGATATCTCTGCACTAAACCACCCAAACCAGGACATGGCCAAGACTGAGTCATAAACTTTAAGTGTGTTTAAAATATTTAAATTTGACAAATTTAACAATTATGTGTACTATTTTTGTAGGGAAATAATAAAATTCCAAATGAATATCATTGTAAAACCTATTTTATTAAATATTTGCACAACATAATCACTTATTGTATGATGTGTCAGTGCTTTGATCTTTTGTTGTAATGAAAACAAACACTTTAAAATGATGAAACACATTGTTTGCATATGCCTATGACAAAAAACTGAGCAATATTGTAGTATTGTATGGATATGTAATAGGGGTGCAACAATACATGTACCCGTATCGAACCCTTCAATACRGTRCTTTAGGTTCAATACACAMTTGTATCGAACAATTCAGATTTTTAAAATTTACTTTATCAACTTGTCTTCTGAAGAWGCTCTGTGTTAAWGGATCAGWGGATCTGTGTTCGACTACTCCACCTAGGCTGTATTTGAGTGCAGATCCACTGAGAAACTTGCTGTTTCAGCAACATTTAATTTAAAAACTGTACTTTAGAGGTTAAACAAATGTCCATAATTAATTTTAATAAATTACAAGTTAAAAGGGGCATGGACATTTTTCTTTTTTTGTATCAAAAAAATATCAAACCGTGAGACTAAAGTATCGAACCGAACCGAATCGTGAATTTTCTGTATTGTTGCACCCCTTATATGTAAAAATATCTAGGTGAAGTAATGCAGGTTTTTAGTTTATGAATGAAAAGCTGAGTAGAAAACCCACATATGCACAGATACAACATGCAAACTCTACACAAGTCAGGAGAATATTCTGCAACCCTCCATGAACAATAAAATCAAACTTTATTCGAATTTCTCTGACTTTGCCACTTTATCTAAGCTYGGCTTCAAGAGCAGGTGTTTTACTGGGGGATACATTTAAGTTGAAATGAATTTAGATCTGATTCGGTTCATCCAGCTTTAAAAAAAGAGGACCGAGTCACATTTCTAATAAAGTCATCTTTCAAACTCGAGTGGAAAAAAATAACACATTCATAATTACAGAAGAAGGATTGTGACAGTTGTGAAAGAAATGGACAAAAAAGGCTTGGGAGGTTTGTTAAAAAGACTTTAATACTGTTCAGAGGGGAGAAAAGAAACAACACTTAACATGACTYTGTGTGTTTGACAAGGCCTGGGAGCTCTCTGTTGTCTTGGTCGCTCCTCTCCTTGTGAAGAGGAAGTGAGGCGTACTGATGACAAAAGCAACAAGTGCTTGTGAGCACAAAGGAGCTGGTTAACTGTGCCCTAAACTCCAGGAAGTGTTGATTAATTGAATCCATAGGCAGCCAGGCTACAGTGTAATTTTCGAAATGCAACGGTTCGGAGTTGAGCAGCTGGAAGGTGGTAGCAAAGAAAGGGAAAACTGAGTTAAAAGAGATTTGTGGAGTGTGGTTGAACTGCTCGATTTGCTCGCATATTTGTTTAGACTCTCTGCTAGCCCCTTTTTATTTGTTTGCAGCTGACATGAACAAATATAATTCTTGACATAAATTAGAATGGAATCCAAACAAACCAAACGTTTAATCTGATTCATCATTTTTGCCTTTGTCTTTACTGTTCTAATGCACTGCAAAGTAACTCTCAGCCTTGAACTAACACATTCGAAATGTGTTTTTATCTTTGCATGCCACAGCACTGGAAAAAAAACAGTATTAAGACAGGAGGAGCCATTTAAAGCAAATGTGAATTCATTCGGGTGTGCTCCCATCCTGACTAACTGCTAAACAGATTTTCTGGGCTGAAGACATATTAAAATATCTCTCTGATTCCAACGACTTGCACCAGAATCTGTGTGACTGAAAATAATAAATCGCCTGTTCCTCACGTACACAAATGCATCTCTAATGAGCAGTGTCCTAGTTGTTCAATTCATTATGGAGATTTTCTGATGCTTTCATCTTGTGCACATGTATCAGTATATAAGGCTACAAACAGTGCGTGTTGCAGAAGATGTCCATGCTTTCTGTGGCTGCGTGTGCTCAAGGAGGAATAGGGGAATGGGGGTTGATAGAAAGTACACATCCGTATTAAATCTTTCTGCTCTTTCAGATTGAAAAGCTGGCTTTAATTACTACTGTCTGTGTGAGTCACTACTACGCTCCCCTTCCTGCAAAAAAAAAAAAAAAAGAAGGAAAAAAACTGTTAACAACAACAGGCAGCATCTCTGAGGAAAGACAAGAGCTTCTTCACCTCGTGGCTGGACGGCCGCTCCTTCCTGCCTGTGAGAAACAACACGGGCTCGCTTTCAAACGGATTCCTTGACCTCTTTCTTCTGGTCCTTGTTGACTTTCAACTTCTGCACACGGTGTTGGATGAGCCACAWTCATTTTTCACAATTTTGTCAAACAGGTTTTGTTCTTCTGTCTCTTTTAGCCCTTCAAAAGCAGCTGCATAAAATCAACTTTGTACTTTACGAAGGTAGTTAAATGGTCTTGTAGGCTCTAAGTTTCCACATAATGTACTTTTGTATATTTCAAACAGTTAAAACCCCCAGGGGGCATCATGCTGTAGCTCACCATGCTGCTTTACTGAGAGTTCTCATGTGTAGAAACTGTAAAGTAAAAATCTTTACATGGGAACTGATTTTAATTAAACATTTGGAAAGATGGAACATACATAAAACTTGATTGTAAGACTAAAGCTATAAATATATTCCTTACATTTTGTGCAGGCAAGGCCAACCACAGCATGGAAGGAATTTATTTAATGTTTCAGAAGAGTTATAAAAGTCTGCTGCCAAACTGTCTAGCTGTTTCCAACTGTAGACTATCCTCTGTTCTAATTTAAATGGAGACCGTTGGTTCAATAACAGCCAACAGGACTTGGCTGTTATTGAACAAATGGTTGATGGTAGTGACCCTTTAAAACCTTTGAAATTTTTCTAAGCTCGGGGTCCTGACATTCACATTCATGTTGTTTGGACTTCCCCACCTAAACACTGATCCAATTGCCAAACCTGTCGTAATAAAGATTTGTAAAAGTTGACACATCATGCTTTTAAATCTTTCTTTTTCACATTTAATAAATCACTTGGGTTCGATATAAAGTGGAACTGCAATTCTTTGGTCTAATTTCCTCCTTGTGGTTACTTTACAAGTCGCACTTTCACCCCTTTTTTCTGAGGCTTGTCTCAAAGCAGCTTGTTTTGACGCTGTCTCCTTAAAGCCAAATAAAACGCCTTACACGCTGTCCCCCGCCAGCTTCCATAACGGTTCTAGTTTGAGAGAGGGGGTTACGGCTATCTAGTGGCACAGAAACGTTTTATTTACAAGTTAATAAAAATATGCCAATAAGGGAAGGCTTGTCATGCCAGCCTTTTATGATGGAGCCAGAGTCTTACCCAGAGCCAGAGGAGAATGAAAATGACCAAACTGTATAGTTGGTATAAGTCCAATGTGGAATTTTCCAAATCCAAAGTGGATTTTGTATATGTCCCCTTTTAAAGGAGCAGCTTCCTCACAAAGACAGTGCTACAAAAGATGTAAAAACAACTCAAAAACTGTTTTTCACCCAAAAACAAGCCCAAAAATGTTGATCCAACCACCATTCATCTCAGATAGCTTTATCAAGCATCTGTGGAATATGCAGGAACAAGCCTTATTTTACAGAAGCTCCGCCCTAGAACCCACAGAATCCAAAACATTCCTTTGAGGAGACTACTGACCCACCACAAAGGCTCTTTCAGGAGCTGTATTGGTCACAAAAAGTGGATCTTGACAAAATATTAGCAAGCGGTTTAACTATGGCTGACCTGTGAAGATTTTAGAGCGTATTTACGATGCAAACATTTTTTTTCTGCTTTGATAGCTTGCATTTGACCTTATTGAAAAGCTCTTTTGTTTTCTGAAAGCCAAATGTCAGTAATAATTTTTTATTATTTTTTTGTTTACATTGAAYGCTGTTTTTGCACATTTACGTATTTCTGAAGGTCAAGGTCACATGAGGTTTTGCTGCATTGCAGTCAAATAAAACATTATAGTTTAAAATAATACATTTAAATCATTGAAACAGATGTCTGACTATTTGCAACACTATTATTAAGAAGTTCAGGCRAAAAAAATGTTCAAACTGAACAGACCTTTGCAAAGGGCAAGGAAATCTGACACTGTAGTCCTTTCGATAAGAAATAAACGATTCTGGACACAAAAAAGCATTTGCAATACCATTGGTCTGCAAGCTCAGCACCAAGAGCCCCTGATGCCGTGTTATTAGAGTCCATGATGGAGTTAGTGCAGTCATCACCCGGTGTGAGGTGGCGGCTGTCTTTGCTCGTCTGGTTGCTCCTCTGCTCTTCTCTCACTGCATTACCAGCAGGGAGTCGCCTCCCAAAGCCTGAAAAAGACACACTCCATTAGGTTTCCTGCAGGACCCAGGCACTGCTCACATATGTGATGAAAAAAAAGAACAGAATAACACCCAGCTCAGCTGAAATTCACTTCAATGCTCATTGTTTTTTAACTAACTTATTGTACCGCATTGATGTAGCATGCATATTATCAGAAGTACATGCTATTCACATGGGAATGAATCTGTCATGAGTTCAAATTTCAATAGTGTTTACAGAATTTAGCATCGGTGCACTTTTTTGTGTGCATCAAGTGTTTTAATGTATTTAAAATTYAAATATGTTGACAACGACGAACATGCACTGAGTTTCTGACGAAAATAGCCTTATCTCTGGAGACTGTGGGAGATTTTTACATTTGAGCAGAAAAGCTGATTAATTATTTTTGGCATTAGACTGTTTGATGAGATTTATCCGCAGACTTTGAGTGAAGGCTTGAAATCACCGCTCACTGTAGTTAAATGTGTCATCTCTGCAGTTGGGAGTATTAGCTCTGAACTTTTTAAAATCTATACAAAGTACATGTCACTTTGTTGTCACTGCACTCTGTGTTGACAGCATACATGTTTTTTTTTTCATGCTTTAAAAAATTCATACTTAAACATCTAAAATGGAATTATCTCACTACCCCACATAAACCTTTCCCTTCGTGTGTTCCCGACTTCTCTTGTCAGTCAAGAACACAGTAATGACCAGAGCAGTGTGGATATTGATTTGTACTTTTTCACAGGGGGGACAGAAGCGCAATCAACCCTTTCTGATAACGTGCCGTGCATCAAAATAATTGGCAGTGTCCAATTATCTTCTGATTCTTTTGCAGAAAGTCTGACAAGCTCATTGAAAATAAATGTTTAATCAGGAAGTCTCAAGTATAAATCTCAGATGAGTTGCTACAAAAAAATGCATGTGTAAGATATGTTTTGTATTAAATTTAAGCACAAAAACATGTGTTGCCTCATATAACTCTGTGATGCAATGGCAGTGGAATTTTTTAACAGTATTTTTCGTTTTGAGATACAATTGAAGATAGAGCTAATATATGATGGGAATATATTTTAATGCAGCCATAATGTGAATGCTAATAAAGCATTCACACTATTAAGATCATTTTTCTTCCTTATGTTTTTCAGCACATATCTTGTTCCGTATTTTTTGTCCTATTTCAACATTTCATATACTGTACATACATACATACATACATACATACATACATACATACATACATACATACATACATACATACATACATAACATATTAAAATGTTTAACTTCATTCAGGGTTACGGCTTTTGGTATTTGAGCAATTTTTTGAGATGTTTAACTTTTTTTGGCTTCTTTACTTCTCATTGAAAATGAATGGAGCTGTCTTCAGTATCTTCAAAACCCTTCAAAATGTTCAGAAATCTTTACTGAACTTTTTTACCTTTTGTGCTCAGTTCTTTTTAAAAAATTTGTGCTAGTTTAAGCTTCCCTTAGCAATTCTATTTTGATGACTTTAGCTTTTTGTCCATCGATCTGGCTTTCTCTTCTATTCTTCTGCTGATTTAAAAGTTTTTGTGCTCAAAGATTTGTCTGCTTTTTCCAGCTATTTCCTACAAATTTCAGCTGTTTGCTGTGTTTGTAATTATTTTAAGCCAATTTTAACTAATTTGAGCTGTTTTTAGCTAAAATTATTTTTGTGAAATTTCAGTATCTTACTGCTATGACTGATTTTCCACTTTTTTGACATACTTTCAACAAAAGTCAACTGTTCAAATTTAACTTTTTTTGTTTTGCTGTTGAACCTTTTCAGTTTCTTCAGCAGCTTCAACAAAGAACTTTCAGCATTAAGTGGGGTACCATGTATTTCCCAGGCTTATAGTTCAATTCTAAACCACAACCAAGTATCCATGTTACCTTCAACTGTTCTGAAAAAGCTGTATATATATCTCAAATAAATTTCCCTTTGCATCATAGCCTATCTAAATGCTGTGAAATTGGCCTCTGTCTCTTAAAGAACCTCCTACTGTTTTGGGTGTTTAAGCATTTTCACTGCATTTTTGCAGGAAATACAATTTCTCTAAGTTTATGTCTTCAAATTGAACTAATGTAAGTGGGTAGAAGGGAAAAAGATATCCACCAGTTTTAACTAACTGATCCAAAACCTTTAATACCGGGTGTTGATTGGTCAAACACAACATGGCTTTAAACTGATGAGGATTTCTTCCATGATTGTGATTCTGCCATTTCTGTGAGAGAATTTAGCTGCCTCACAAAAGAAGTCATTACATACTTTTAAAATGTAGGCAGAAAATGAGCTTTTTAATGAATTTCCTCAGTTGAGACCATTTCCTGCTCTGCTTTCTATTCCTGGCTTTTGTCAAAAAAAAACCTGCATTTGTAGTTATAAATTCAGCATTTTGGCTACTTYATATGATTCAGTCATTGACAAGCCCTCGTAAAAACAAATAGGTGTCCAAATTGTTTACTTTCTTGTGAGTGCAAGAAAGTAAACTGCAGTAACGTTGTTTTGGTAGCGACTGACATGGCAGCTATCCATCTAACTTACAGAAATATATTCATGATTTTGGAAGCGGCGTCAGCCAGAAAGCAACATGCCATGCTGTATCAAGGTTTTAACTAGGACTCAAATCAAGAATCATTTCAAATGACTGCTGTCCTTTGACGAGCAGTCCATGAGCTGCGTATCATTTTCAACCTTTTCCAGAGATGGATTCCAAAAAAAAAAAAAAACGAACAAAGGAGAGAATGTCCAACATCAAGAGTCACATGAAAGAAAAAAAAATCAACAAACATGTTCAAACACCTTAAAGGGGAAGGACGCAGGTCAAGCTTGAGACAAAGCATTCAGAAAGAATGCCTCCCAACCATGAAATGTCATTGCTGTCAATCAGCGGGCAAATATAAACTGGCATCAGTCACGACATGAGGTGGCTCCTGTCGGTTAGGACTTCCCATTATTCGTTCTCACATACAGATAAYTTGGATAAATAGAAACAACTCTATGCCCGGGAGTCTCAGATTTACTCGATGAGCGCGTGTTACCTGATTCGATTCTGAGCTTGTCATGCATGTGATGCATGTCAAAAACAAATCGTTAACTTATTTGTCATATCAGGTACTGGACACCACTATTTGTAGCTTGTAAATATTCAAAGTCCTTATTTTGTTCGGTTTTTCTACTCTGCTTGGTGCGGTCACTGTTTTCATCCTGATCTGTTATTTCTTGTTTCTCTGGATTTAAAATGCCYGCATTWAATGTAATAGTGTGCTCTTTATTCATTCAAAATCATTGCTGAATCCATTTGTTCATTACAATAGCCTGAGTCTGAATGTATTTTTCTGTAGTCACYCTTATGCATAGCAGTGGCTCAGTAAATGAAAAATAGTGCTCTGATTAGGAATAAATATGCAAAGAGTGTAGCAGAATAATTTACAGGGTTGACAACATGTTTCCTTTAAAATTTGCCACCTCTTATAGTGGAGGATGATCTAAAAAAGTTTAACAACTAATTTGATATTTTATATATTTTCTCTACATTTTTTGTTCACAACATGAAGAGAGTTATTTTAGAACCTGGTCAGTCTTGTCACTCAGTGTCTAATTATAGGTGCTGTAATCACCTCTGCCTATTTTTTTCAGAACTGCAGGTGGTTTCACCTTACTGGTTATTACCCAACAACAATGTAACAAACCATGCCACCTCAGCTGGTATGTTAAATACCAACCCAAACAATCTCAATTAAGCATATCTTTTAAAGACATTCCTGATCAAGTATTCTTGTACAGTCGTAGGAGCCCTGTAATTTCCTCAGGAAACTTTTTTTGCATCATGTTCTCCCTCCTGTGGACTCTGCCCAGGGACCACTTCAGATTATTTTGAGCTGTGAGAGAAAGTCTCACATGGAGAATCTCCTGCTGGGTTGTGCATGTGGGAATCAGCAGCTACTCAAGTCTGGAGCAGATTCTTTAATAAAACATTAGCCACTGTTGGTAAAAGAAGTGACTTTCTACAGCAGAGGTTTTGGTTTAATTTTGTTTGCTCAAATATGTAACTAAAGGAAAAGGTAAAATTAGATTAGTAAATGTGTTGCATGTATAGAATAATTATGCTTAGACAATTATCCTGGAAAAATTCCAAAAAAAAAACCTAAATGTGACTTTTGAAACCAGTTTCACAGTAAAAGTAGCAATCAGCAAATTAATCTCTTCAAAACATGTTTAATGCATTTTGCCTGCTTCAAAACTATTTCTCTCCAAATACTTTCTAAAATGTGTTCATGTGTTTATCAAAAACTGTACAATGTATGTACTCAAAGTGCCTGTCACATGCATATCCTTCAGTACAAAAAGTCAAAGAATACATCTTTATACTTAAGAAACTTGGCATAATACACATGATTTTACCAATTCTGTCTCATAACTGGCCTATTTTTTTCCAACTTAGATCAAAGTGAAACAGGAAGTGACATCAAAGGGGAACTCGCAGGAACTTCCTGCGAGTTGTTTATTGAAACATATATATATATATATA